CACATATTTTCTTTAACTCACTGGTAGGCCTCTCCCAACGAGAAGAAAATCCCTCCTGATAACTAATTGGGTTGGCTAAGAGCAGATGGCTTGGCCTAGGCCCTAGACCCTCTTCTGCCTGCAGGGTCCTGCCTGTGAATCCTGACTCCTTTCCCTTGTTCCTGACTTTACGGAGCACTTTTGAGCTATTTCTATCAAGACCAGCAGATAGCAATGATTAGAGCAAGCTGGCCCAGGAATATAGAACTAAGGGTTGTTAACGTTGGTTTCTGAGAATGCTCTCTTGAAAGCATTTTTTTTTAAAGGTATTTTTGTCCAAGATGGTGGCAGAGTAGTTGGATGTTACACTCACCTCCTCCCAGGATCAAACTGGAATTATAATGCAAAGATAGAGCAATCAACCTGAATAACCAACTGAAACTAGCTGAAGGATTTACAGAAAGAAACCACATCGAGACTCATAGGAAGGGCAGAGATGCTGGTGGCTGAGATTTGGGAGAGATATCTCAGCTGCAAAATTCCCCCAAGTAGTGTGGGGTCTCATTTTCAAACCAGGATCCCAAGCCCAGCGCACCAGAGCTGGGACGAAGCGCACGTATAACATCTGGCTCTCAAATTCAGCAGGGATCCCAGCTGGCAGGGAGAGACAGAGTCTACTACAGACACAGGCACCCTCTTAGAGGCCAGCACTCAGAACCTCGTTCACAGAAACTCACACTGGGCTTTTCTGTAATAAGAGATCAAAACTAGGCAAACTCAGGTTAATTAATATTTCAGTATCAACTTATTTCAAAATACCTAGATATTTAATAATTTCTACTATTTAAACTGGTATAACTCCAATGTTTTGTTACCAAATACTTTTTTTTTCTTTACAAAGTGGGGGTGGCCCCTGCCTGAGGGCACTTCTGCAGATCTGGCCCTTCTAGGAGAAAAACTTTGGGGGTTTAGAAGGCTTATTTCCCATAGTTGTCTTTCTGAGTAGACTGTAACAACTGTAACAACATGAAATTTTGCATATAAAAAGAGATCTTATCCTGTTTCAAAATAGGAACAAAAACAACCCCTAAAGTAAATAGGTGAGTGCTCCCAAAAGGAGGGACTGGGACATTAGCCCTAGAATCTTATTTTACACTAACCCAGAACAGCAATGGCCTTTGGTTCTGAGTGGCCCAAAGCCCAAACAGCAGAAACAGAGGGTTCCCTGTGTTCATAAAATGATGAACAGTAAACCAAGTCCTCAAAAGATTAGAAAGCAAGCAAGAAACATCCTTAACCAATTTACATTACAGACAGACAAAACTCTCACTAGCTAAGAATTTCAGGCAGCTGATGCCTTGAGAGGGAGAGCAAGGAGGGTCCCCAAGATTAAGAACTCGGCAGCTGCTGGGACGTTCCTGCAATCCCTGCCATGGGTTCAGTCTGCCACAAGCAGCTGGGACCCCACAGCAAAGTGGGATATGCCCCCATTTTTAAATAAGTTAAACCAACAACAAAGAGACACAAAACAACAATCAACAGGGACACTCTATGTACAACATTTATAGGTGCGCACAACCATAAACAAGAGCTTCACACCATGCTCCTTGTCTGTCCAGCCACAGAAACCTCAGAATGCCCTCCATTTAAAACACTACTGAAGCAGAGCAGTGTATCTCGTCCCAGAGTGGATCAGACTAAGGGCTCAGAGACCAGGCAAGGACTGCTGGAGGTCCCTTGCCACCAAGACCTGGTCAGGCTCACCTGATTCCTCCTCCTGTCATACAGAAATGCTTGATTCAACTTACATCTTAGGTGAGACGAGGCTGCAGCTGGGATTCAAAACAGAAAAATTCCTGGCAGTGCTCTGAATAAAAAAGTCCAGGCCTCAGCCCCAGGAACCCCAGTCCAGGCAGCAAGTGAGATCCCTGATACTCACCCAGAGTAGTCCCTCGCTTACATCCCACCAGAGTCACCAGGTTATGTAACCGGACAACCAAGGGGTCCAGGTTGCATGTCACTACTTCAGCCAATTGAGCAGAGACAGGGTTGAATAACAGATGAGCGTTTATTCCAATAATTCCAGCAGTGTGGGAGAGCAGCAGGCCATCCACAGAAATCTGCTCTCCTCTCCCTATAAGCCAGTTGCTTATATTGGGTAGAAGGACAAAGATTACGTGGGAAAGTAGGAATTACAGGCATGGGAAAGTAGGCACGGTGTTATCATTACAGGTTACAAGTCATGCGGGCTCGGGGAGTGGTCGCAGAAGGCTGGCGCCTCCAGGTGCCCCAGGACCAGATTACAGGTAATAGGGGTTGGGGGTGGTAGGACTAGATGGTTTCAGCCACGAGATTGTAAATCTTTTCATAATGATAAGCTGTTCTTGGTAAAGGAGGATGACTACATTCCAATGTCAGCTCCTATGTCTCAGCCAAGTTAGAATATGCTTTCTCTAATCAGAACAGAACCATCATTATTAATATTTCTTATAATTGTAGCTGGTCCCCAATATTCTATTTCTGCCCCTAACAAAATGAAGGGTTTATGATAAAGCTTTTCAGTGATAATTAAATGCCTACACATGATTTTAAGGAATGAAGCCAATTAGAGCGCCTTGGAGAAAGCCTGGTACCTTGCTTGGTCATGTGGTTCATGGCAGTCTTTCTATGAACGAAGGTTGGAACGAAGATTGCTTTCCCGAGAGATGGCAAGGAAGGAACCTCAAGACATCATTAGGGACCTCAACTTGAGGAATTCACCGAAGTCTATGGGTA